CTGCACGCAAATAGTGTGTGAACCCGTTTATCGCTTTCGAGCTTCGGCTCGCACAAATCGATTGTTATTAGTGCCTTCTTTAGTGCAAGATGCGGCAAGAACGTCGTACGAAGCTTAGCGTCATGAATATGGCGCCTCTTTTGATAATTCCTTCGATTTACGCTATTTAGGAGTTCGTATTTCGAGTGAGCGACGCCACCGGGTTGAGCAGTGGGTTTCATACAGTCTTGTCAGCTCACATCGTTGTGCGATATGATATTGCTCTATTGGTGCAATCTAGTGCATACTTCCAATATATGCGGCTTTTCGCTGCTTCTTGCTATTGGATGGAGAGCGCCCGTAGCCGGCGTGGCCACGACAGGCCAACGTGCGTCTCGTAAAGACAGTGCTGGAAAAAGCCAACGCGCGTAAGCGACACCTCGGCGAGCGACGGGCTTTGTCGAAACGCAAGCGCAAGCGCGGGACCGAGTGTCGGATCGACGCTCAAATCGAGGTCGATGTCGTTTAGGTGCAGGCTCGTGGCACGCCCGAAGCGCAGCCACTCCGCCAAGTAGCGGGCAAAGGTTGCATGCAAGCGGTGCGGGCCGCGCGCACTGCAAAGTCGAAGCTCAAACACCGCCAGGTGAGGATGACAAATGGCAGTCAAAAGCGCGTCGAGTGCAGGGCGGTGTCGGGACACGTCGGTCGCAATCTCAATCTCCAGAGCCTTCACCGCCGTGCAACCGAGGAGTGCATCGCGCAGCGCCTCGCACTCGGGCATTGCCAGCTTCGTCAGACGGAGTTGAACGCGCGAAATACTTTGTTTGCCGAGCCGGTTGGTTGCGGTAAGTAAATCGGCACTGCACGCGATGCCTTCCAGTGCAATTTCTACGCGAAGCGACAAAGCGCTTTGTAGCATGCGCCACGTTGCTTCTGGGAGTGCCACGTCATCCAGATAAATCGTCGGCCAGCGCACGCGAACGCCGGCGACAGTCGTCAACGTGTATAAACATTGCAGTCGTGGTGTCCACGCGGCGCGCGGGATGCTGGCGAGCAGCGCCATGAACGCTGTCGGGCACGAGATGTAGCCCGCGATGGTCTCCAACACCTCGGGGGGCAAGACACTTGGTGCTACGGTGCATGGCCGCTTGACGCCGTCTTGAAGCTCTGGCGACTGCATCTGGCTTTGAAACGTCTGTGAACAGACAGCCGAATGCACGAAACAGAATCTGAATGCACCAGACGACACCATGTGGACACAACACAAACCTAAAAGCTTTTGGAGTGTCTTTGGCTACTGGAAAATCGTCGGATGCTCAAAGTGGATACTTGGTACTACCGGTAGAAGCAAGCAATGAAAAGGCTAAGCCACCGTGCGACCATCGTCGAATACTGGCAAAGCAGACTGCATCCATTGGCTTCCTATACGGTGCGAGATTTTTGCTCCGGCTGCGAGCGATCCAGATCACTGTGTCGATGCAGATGGTTCTGATTCGCGTCCGAGGCCGCCAATCGACGTCCCCAGAATTAGATGCGAGGACGGGCAAATCTGCAATTGAAGAACATCCTCAGAAATCGAAGAAGTTGCAAGGTTCCCACGTGTTATTGAAGATAGTACCTTCACAAACGCTTTGACAAATTCCTTTTGCACTTCAACTTTTGCACCGCACCGACTTCGTCGTCGACCGTCGCTGTCATGGTTGCCCTTCTGGCTATTGTATCGCTTCTACTGGCCTCGGACACTGCGGTGGCTGGCAACAACAAGACGCTCAGCTACACGGGCTACCAGCTCTCGTACGACTGCACCTCAGGTGCCGCCGACCGCTGGACGTACACGCTCGACGTTGACAACGG